TCGATCAAATGTTTCATTTTGTCTTACATTGGTACTTGAATTTGATGATATTAGCCAGCATAATATTTTATGTTGATTATGGTCATTGACGTCAGAAAAACTCAGTGTTTTGAATGATTTCATTCAAGTGACGCTGTCTCCGGCTTGACTCAGCGTAATTACGCTGGGTTTTATTAAATGTATAAGAACTTGATACTGTTCGATCGCCTTTTTACCTGCACAAAGAATTTGTCTGTTGTTTATAAAGAGTCGCATCGCATCATTCAGAGCGCTGTTACTCCTGAGCAAATTCTGAGGTTTAGGAAAACGAAGTAACATTTAATATCCTGCCGACTCACCGTCCATACAGTTGATAGTAGTAAATCTTAATGAACTGTATTTCAGGGACTTTACACATAGCGAACAAATGGATGATAATCTTTGCTAGAATTGATGCCGTTTCAGACAAACTGCATTGGCCATCCTTAGGGCCAGCAGTGTCTGTTGTTGTTTATTGTATACCCTGAGGATGGCGACTGCAGTCGATTGAAACTTTATTAGTTCTAATAAAGATTATTTTTCTTATATTTATTTCTTTTTTGTTGTTGTGTCTACAACCATTGAGGTGACGGTTTATTGAAAAAGGCTAACTTGATATGAGTTTCTCATATTCGATTGTTACAGGCACCAGTGCTTGACAGAAAGGTTTTATTTTCAGACCGACAGTTCAGACAACAGCAGCGAGTGGTTCTTTCTGGAGCTTACATCATTCTTGATTTGTTCTGATCATCACCTTGAGTCAGTAATCATCTGTAACCAGTACTGGAGCTAAAGAACGGTAGTGTGCCAGGTGAAGCCTAACCCTGACGAATTTTCTAGCTTACCGTTATGCTTTGTGCAGTAACCTTTGTGAACTTGTGTTGAATCAGTTTCAGTCACTTGCAGTAGTTTAAGCTGTCCAGTTTTGATGACCATTTCATTCTTAGTTTTAAAACATTTTCAGCTTCGTAAAATTAATGACAAAGAGCGGAGGAATCTTCCTACGTATTTGACAACGGTTTCTTAGTAACTTCCAAGTTCCATACGTTTTGATCCTCTTGAAGCAGAATGATTGATTTCGACCATGCGATTCACTCAGTAGTCGAAAGCTATGCGTATATACTACT